ACACACCACTTAAGTGAAGTGCACTTTCAGTATACCTTTACATCTGTTTTATGTTGTCTTAGAAACTGTAATAATCTATATATGAGAGTGAATTTATATGTTGTTTAAAACATTTAAATCTAGTTGGCTTAAAATCATCGACTATAATTTATTGTTAACTAAAGTATTTAATTATAAACTATGGCCAATAATCGGTTGGCGAGATTATGCACAATTTGCGGCGATACGGCCATGGGTGAGTTAATCAACCATATTTAATTTAATTTATTGCAATATAATGCTAAATACAATTTACTATATGCGTTTATGAGCATTACTGGCACCTATTGAGTGATAATATTAATAATATTTTCAATCTCGGTGTTTAGGTGTCAACTTTGACGCTCTGACCTGCGGCTCCTGTAAGGCGTTTTTCCGGCGCAACGCACCAAAAAACATGGTTAGTTGTGTGAATAATTAATCATGATCATTTAATTAATTATGTATTTTTATTTTATTAATAGGAATTTAAATGCAATTTCAATAAAGATTGCAAAATTGATGTCAAATCGCGAAAGTTTTGCATTAAATGCAGACTCAATAAGTGTTACGCAATGGGAATGAAAAAAGTACTTGTATTTATTTAGTTATAACTAATTTAAATTATTTATAATTAATTATAATTAATTATGTAAAACAGGATTACATACTGAACGACGAGGAGAGGCACAAGCGATACGAAAAACTAATGGGAATTCCGCGCAAAAAGGGGACCAAATGTACGAAAACACCCGATAGTAGTCCCGAAAGTGACTACAGGGTGACCAACGCGTCGCCACCCGGAGCGTACCCTATGGTAGAACAACCTGTAGTCAGATTTAACAGTCAATTGGCTATAAATAACGACAGCAATACCGATGGTGAAAATGAGGAGAACCCGGAGCCTCATCTAATATACCGGATCTATGCTAACCCTATGGGACAATTAAACAGACCGCGTAGACCTCTAACCGACTACGGGAACCAACTGAACGAGTTGGAGGGCAGACGATTGACCGAGTTGTTAAACGCTATGCACATCTATACGGAGACTGTGGTGCCGGTGACCGAGTTTGCTGTTAAAAATAATTATGTAATGGCGTCTCAGCTCGATGCTAGAGTTTATAGCTTGATCAAAATGGCAAAAAATTTGACCGCGTTTAACGAACTGTGCGAGAATGACCGTATTTCACTGATTAAGCATGGATGCTTGGATATGTTTTATTTGCGCTGTGTGCCCGATTTTGATTATCGTGATAATCATTGGACATTTACTATGGTTAGTGAGTCTCTCTCTCTCTCTCTCTCTCTCTCTCTCTCTCTCNTCTCTCTCTCTCTCTCTCTCTCTCTCTCTCTCTCTCTCTCTCTCTCTCTCGAATGTACAAACAGTAACAATTAATCAGGGTGGAAATTGTACATATATCATAATACCTAAGGTTGGATATTGGCGTTTGTCTCAATTCATTATAAAATTTTAACATTTTCGATATTAACTAATTGAAATTAAAATTTACAAACTTTGTAATAATTTTTAATATTATTATTGACACACAGGAAAACACAAATACCATAGCGATAAGTCTGGATGTGTACAAGTATCTACCCAGTGACATTTTTAATCTATATAAATTATTTTATTATAACATATGCCGTGAATGGGACGACGACTGTGTATTACTGGACTTGGTAATAAAACAATTGTTAAAATTCTCACAATTCCATTTATGATAATCATAATTATTTTATGATTTTACAGTTAACTGCGATCATACTGTTTAATCCTAATAGACCTAACTTAATAAACAAGCCATTAATTAAGTAAGTTTTTAATTGGTCAATTATTCATGTAAAGGTCCTTTATAGTAAACTAAACTAATAATGCATATTAATTTTTAACACCATGTACATAGATTACAGCAACGGATATACATGTATTTACTGCAACGGTATCTACTATTGAGGTACCGGACGGATGGGGTGTCGGGCCTAAAGTACCGGAAACTATTGGTCATGATAAATCAGCTAGAGTCATTAGTGATATCAAAAATGAATGTCAGCTTGGACGTTGACCCTGATACAATACCTTCTAGATTATTGCGCGAGATATTTGATTTAAGATCCAAATCCGATGTTAATTGTGTTAATTTTGGCAATAATATTCTCAATTATTAATCATGTTTTTGAGCATGTTTGTTATTTTAGTTTTATTTTATTAATAATCGTATACTGTATTATCAATACTAATGTCATCTCTTTAATAAATTAAATAGTAAAACACAAGGTAAAAACTATTCTACAAATCATTTAACAATTTTATATTATATTTGTTATTTTAGACTAAAACTGGTGTCAATTCATGTTGTATTCGCGATTTTGCCATCAATTTAAACAATGATTTTGACATTTATATAATATTCTTGTTGTTATAATAACAACGATATTATGAAATTTTTAAATTATTTTAACAATTCAAGATCAAAGGAGTGAGTGAGTGAGTGAGAGAGAGAGAGAGAGAGAGAGAGATGTCGTAAATTAACATTGGTTTAATATAAACAAGGAGTAATGTTATTATATTAATGTTCACAATCATTAAATTGTTAATGCTTAAAATTAATCAATAGTATAGATATTCACTACTTTTTTAACATTCATTATGTGTAATAAATAATTACCCAAAAATATTGCCGTATTGTTCGTACCATTTCTGTACTCTTATATGTGTTTTCTCGCCCCACATATCAAAGTGATTGCCAAAAATGGGTATCGGTTTCGGGCCTTTAATACCCTGTTTAGACCAGTAGTCGTAACCACGGTTTAAATACCTTATTTTATCGCAATAAATGAGTAAAAATTTGTACAAATTATGTTTTTAATAAATGTTTCTGTAGTTTGTAAATAATTTATTAAATTAATTATTCAAAATAATTACCAATAGAGGAAAGTGGCGATTGTTATAAGTGCCACAAAATATAAGATTAAAACAAACATGTCAGTTTTTAGAAAATAATGAAGTATTTTTATTAAGTTATGACTTTCTTATATAACTCCTATAATAACAATGAATAAAACAATATCATTTCATTAAGCTAAACTTTATAACTTATATACCGAGACAATTTTATTTTTATTCTCTCTTTCTCTCTCTCTCTCTCTCTCTCTCTCTCTCTTTCTGCCAAAATTTTCTCTATTTCTCATTTCTTTTCTTAATTCTCTATTTTTCTAT